TAGATAGATAGATATAGATAGATAGATAGATAGAGATAGATAGATAGATAGATAGATAGATAGATAGATAGATAGATAGATAGATAGATAGATAGATAGATAGATAGATAGATAGATAGATAGATAGATAGATAGATAGATAGATAGATAGATAGATAGATAGATAGATAGATAGATAGATAGATAGATAGATAGATAGATAGATAGATAGATAGATAGATAGATAGATAGATAGAAGATAGATAGATAGATAGATAGATAGATAGATAGATAGATAGAGATAGATAGATAGATAGATAGATAGATAGATAGATAGATAGATAGATAGATAGATAGATAGATAGATAGATAGATAGATAGATAGATAGATAGATAGATAGATAGATAGATAGATAGATAGAGATAGATAGATAGATAGATAGATAGATAGATAGATAGATAGATAGATAGATAGATAGATAGATAGATAGATAGATAGATAGATAGAGATAGATAGATAGATAGATAGATAGATAGATAGATAGATAGATAGATAGATAGATAGATAGATAGATAGATAGATAGATAGATAGATAGATAGATAGATAGATAGATAGATAGATAGATAGATAGATAGATAGATAGATAGATAGATAGATAGATAGATAGATAGATAGATAGATAGATAGATAGATAGATAGATAGAAGATGTAGATAGATAGATAAGATAGATAGATAGATAGATAGATAGATAGATAGATAGATAGATAGATAGATAGATAGATAGATATAAGATAGATAGATAGATAGATAGATAGATAGATAGATAGATAGATAGATAGATAGATAGATAGATAGATAGATAGATAGATAGATAGATAGATAGATAGATAGATAGATAGATAGATAGATAGATAGATAGATAGATTTGTAAAAATGACCAAACTAGCTAACTTAAAGAATTTATGTCTTTACAAGTTTTATACTGAACTTCCCATACACCAGATACTTATGACCACACGATGGAATTAACAATGCTTTTGTCAGGTATATATTTTATTTGTTAGATCCGTTGAAGCATCCTTTGGGTAAATGACTTTTAGTCCATGACGTTGAGTATTTAAAAATGCAATTTTGTGGTTCCAATCCTGAAATATAAAATTGTGATATTTTGTTTACAACAACAACAAAAATTTATCGAGGTGGTGAACTTATGAATGACAAGCTGATTGTTGTAAGGGCCCTTTGGGAGAGAGTGAACAGTGCCGAGGCAAAGATACCATCAAAGAGGCAAATGCCAGGAGATGGAAAGTGAGAAGCAACACGAAATGAAAAATGTGTTTCAATCATCATTGATCCGCGGATGGCTAATAGACTGAAATGGCTGGAAAGAAAAGCAGATGACTGTAGCCTCTTCATGGCATTGATAACACAATGCAGGTCATTCCCCAGTGGTTGCCATTGCATACAGTCTACTGTTTTTTTTCTTTCTGTGAATGGTATTATACCATGTCATTTTACATTCCCTCATTCCTAATTCTCGTGTCCTTCTGCAGGTTTCATTTGGTCGACTACACCCCACCCCCAACGCCGTTTCCCATCTGCCATCCATCACAGAGCCGACTTTCCCAAAGTGTCACCAGACATTCCGCCAACATTCCCAAACTATTTCCATCTTCATGCTTGGCGAGTGTACATGTGTGTATTATTGTGTATTTGTGTGTGGGCATGCGTATGCACGAAGAGTTTGATACTACTTGTGTAAGTGTGTGTAGGCATGCGTATGCACGAAGAGTTTGATACTAAGTGTGTATGTGTGTGTAGGCATGCGTATGCACGAACAGTTTGATACTAAGTGTGTATGTGTGTGTAGACATGCGTATGCACGAAGAGTTTGATACTAACTGTGTATGTGTGTGTAGGAAGAAGAGTTTGATACTAAGTGTGTATGTGTGTGTAGGCGTGCGTATGCACGAAGAGTTTGATACTAAGTGTGTATGTGTGAACATATGTATAAGTATGTGTGTGGGTGTGTGTGTGTGTGAATGATCTTTTCTGCATGGGTACGTATATGTATGTGTGTATGTATTTTATGTTAAGTGTAGGTAAACATGTATATACCACGGATTCTTGTGTATGATGTCCTTTATGTTCATAATATGTATATGGTCATATTACCATAACATGCTGTATAGATAAAACACAACTGATGTGTGGAAGTTGAGCATTTGGTTAGGCCCAATATAAGGTCTGTCTGTATGCCAAATTGTGACCCGTGGAAAATAAAGTTCGTTCGTTACTTCTATGACGTTTGTCTGTTGTGAAAATCTAGTTTTTAACCCAGCTTCCAGATTACGCGGTTTTTTTTTTTTTTTTGGGGCTCTGCAATTCTGCACAATTCATAAATACACAATACTTAGTACTTACTTCTCACAGACATATTGCAAGGCTGTCTGACAAGAGAGGTCGTTCCATTTGTACTGGTAGTAAGAATAGACCTGTATGCACTGCTCGGTACTGGCTGTGTAGTTGTTGGGAAAATGAGGTAAAGTGAGAAAAGGGACGTTTCCAAGCCACAAACAAAGAATTCTAAGTTCGTAACAAATGTAACATGTCTATTTATTCGAGTCGATTGCTTACAATTAGTGAATGCCTTTATCAACTGTCAATACTATGATCGTCGAGTAGAAGTGTTCGATTCTCGCCGTGGTCGGTGCACACAAAAACAAAACAAAATCCTTCTTTTCTAATGGTTGGCGAGAGTAGCACAGTGGAAGAAATCAAATCTTTCCAGTGTCAGTTTTTCAGACACAGTAGGTGGTTTACTGTAGACAACTTTTATTGTAGAATCAAAACATATTTTTTTCCCCTTACGTGTTGTTATCTTGAAATAAAAAATATCTGAGAAATATGGCAAGATTAAATGTTTCTATAATGCAGGTGTGCGACGAAATAAAAGAATAATTTTTTTTGGCTTGACATGCAATAGTACAGAAACACGCGCACTGGACAAAGGCGACATTTCAAAGATTCTTTATGAACGAACGCTGACTTAAGACACGAGGTTAGATGAAACAACATGTTTAAGAATGTGTGAGCGAAGAACTAGTTGCGGAACGGACAGTGAGGGACGTATGAGAGGAAGAGAGCGACGTGTGCATAATCAGTGTGCTACAGGAAAAGTTTCCTACGGGAGACGGAGCACTTCCAAAAGAGGACACCCCACAAATTTTTGAATAAAATTCGTCAAAGGACTAACCAGGGCCCCCCACATTAAAGACACCTAAAGGAAAGCTACCCTGCAACTGAGACTTATAAAAGAAACTTACTGGAACAAGCTGGGGTGCAGTGTCAACACTGTATGACAAGAATACACAGTATACGTACGACCAAAACTGGAGTATGGCATGGGAGCATACTCTAACTGCAGCCACGTCAAACCCACACACACTGGACAAAATACAGAACACTCGACTCTGAATCATCACTGAGGTATGAATAGCGCACCACTCAATTAGCTGGAAGCAACTTCTGGCCTCCAGAGCTTGAGCCTTCGAAGGGAAGACAAGATGCTTAGCCTGACATAAAATTTTAAACGTATGAACAACAACCCCATTCACAGAATAGCAAACAGTTTACCTAAAAACCGACTGACAAGACAAAGCTTTCACCATCTATCAAAATTGTACTACACACACAAAAAAACAGTGACATCCTTTATAAAGATACTTCAACATAAGAAATGATCCAGGCATACACATAGACCTACAGCCTAACTATACAGTCACAACAACAATTCCAGGCATAGACAGAAAGTCTGAAGAATGGGACCTAGTACTGCATGAAAGACTCTTGAACAACGTCTATATCTCTCATTTAGAACCCGAATGGACACACGTATACACCGATGAATTTTTGGAGGAAGCAGGAAACAAAAACAGAGGAGCTGGATCGGTCATCATGCTGCAAGATGGGATCACAGTAGAAAAATCTTGCGCCTCCGCAAAATTCTCAACAAACTTCAGAGCTGAGCAGGAAGCAATTATTGATTCAGCCAAAGTGCTTAAGGAAAAAAAAAAATTAAAAACAGCAACATTGTTTTCCTTTGTGACTGTAATTCAGTCCTCCAGGTGACTCAGAGGGATCCACGAGACATTGAGAGAGAACTGACCCGTCAAATAAACAGACTCGCAGAAAAAAAATCATATCATTGTCTAGTGGATCTCGGCTCACTGCGGTATATCAGGAAATGAGTCAGACTTACAAAAAAATGGAACAAATGAGAAACGACACACCCACTCATTGTCATTACCAGAAATTAGAACATGTATTTAGGAAAAATACAAGGAATTATGGAAAGAACAAACTAAGTGTAACCATCCACAAGACCCCATCAGCAGACTCAACAGAAAGCAACATACAACAATTTTCCGTCTACGAACCGGTCACTGCATAAAAAAAAAAAAGATTGTACAGTCCCCGCAGTGTGCTTGACAAACAGGACCACAAACACCTGAGCACATTGTGCAGACACCTGTCCACTCTACCTTCAACTTCGAAAAGACACCTGGCTTCTAGAGCAAAGTGTGCAGAGCAAGCTATGTAGAACCATAAAAGACTGACTGCTGACATGCGACTTTATAGAGGCAACCCACCTGATGAATTGATCTGAGCATATAAAACTGAACGAACAGAAGAATATGATGAAATAACATGTGCGTGAATGTGTGAGCAAAGAAATGTGTGTGGATCGGACAGTGATGGACGTATGAGAGAAAGAGAGCAACGTGTGTAAAATCAGTGGGCTACGTGTACAGTTATCATCTACACCTTAAGACATTTGCTGTGGGTATGACCGGTGTTTTTTTTTTTTTTTCTTAAAGCAGTTCATTTAAAAATCAGCTTAAATAATGTGGACACAAGCAATACATTGCTCCATTTATTGCCAGGTACATTTCGCTGTATCTATTCAGGTGTATTACTACAGATCTAGGTTCATTGTGTGTTGATTTAACGCTGAAGTGAAAAAGAACGTCCAGCCAAAATGGAGCAAACCCTTGGCAGAATGTTAAGCTGTGAAGCAATTTTTGCTTTTGACAGCGCTTTGCTAATGCAGTTTCCACATAAGGATAGTAGTCTATGGTTTCGCTTCTTGAACTAGTGAGTTTAGTGCCTGGTAGCAGCTCTGTGAGCTGTGTTTTTTCTGTGAAATGTCTTAAATGTGTGCAGAGGTTGTGTTGTGGTATTCAAAATGGCCGGTAGTCGGTTTACGTTTGAGATGGTAAAATACCTTATGTAATTATTTTACGCATGTATAGCAACCAGGTCGACTCTGTTGCTAAGTCGATGCGAACGCTTCGTAATGCCGGGGTGCCGGGTTCGATCCCAGCTGCGCCTTGCGTTGGTTTCGACAGTGGTATCAGGGGGCCGAACGTCCAGAAGCAATGGCAAACTACTGGAAGTAAATTTGCCTAGAGAGACCAATCAACAGCCAGGGGCTGCCGGAGTTGGTTCTGCAACGTCCTGTAAAGGATGCGCAACTAACCTAATGGTAACCAGCTGATTGTGTCCGACTACTTCCATCAAGGACAAACTGCCTTTCTGGTGGCGTTTGTTGGCTTTGGCACCTCCAGCAAATGGAATACGCATTTATTACGTGCATCTATTTCTGGATTGTTCCGGGACTATTGTTTGTTCACCAGTTGTTCAGATGAGACCGTCAGGGACATTTAATTTGATTTGCACTGACACAGAAAGGGAAGCAAGTTACGAGGGAAACCCGACTGCTGTGAAATGGAAACCTCCACTAAGACTAAGATTAACGCTGAGGCACTGCATCGCAAGTCGGCTGTAACGTTGACGTCTTTCCCGACAGAGGCAGGAATATCACAGCTGATGGCGACAGTCAGTGTTACATCAGTTGGGTAGGAGTGAGGGGGACGAGGAGGGACCAAGGATGGGGGTTGGGGGGGGGGGGGGGGGGGTAATAATTATTCACGAAAGAAATAATTGTTTGGAAAATTTGAAAACTGATGAGACGAGCCTGGTTGGATGGATCCAGTTCACTTCTCCTGATGCTTTTCAAATGTACTGGGGAAGTACGGAAAGGGGAGGGGGGGGGGGGCGTTGAGGTGATGCTGGAGAAAAATAGGTTGAAATGACGCAGGTGGTCATAAAGTTGAGATTAAGCTGGTGATTAGGAGGTTGAGATGATACTGGTTGTGGTGAGGTTGAGATGATACTGGTTGTGGTGAGGTTGAGATGATACTGGTTGTGGTGAGGTTGAAATGATACTGGTTGTGGTGAGGTTGAGATGATATTGGTTGTGGTGAGGTTGAGATGATACTGGTTGTGGTGAGGTTGAGATGATACTGGTGGTGGTGAGGTTGAGATGATACTGGTTGTGGTGAGGTTGAGATGATCATGGTGGTGTTGAGGTTGAGATAATGCTGGTGGTGATGAGCTTGAAATGATGCTGGTGATGGTTACGTTGAGATGGTGCTAGTGGTGGTGAGTTTGACATGGTGCTAGTGGTGGTGAGTTTGAGATGGTGCTGGTGGTGGTGAGTTTGAGATGATGCTGGTGGTGCTGGGGTTAAGATGATGCTGATGGGAGGAGGTTGAGAAGATGCTGGTGGTGCTGGGGTTAAGATGATGCTGATGGGAGGAGGTTGAGATGATGCTGGTGGTGGTGAGGTTGAGATGATGCTAGTGGTGGTGAGGTTGAGAAGATGCTGGTGGTGGTGAGGTTGAAATGATGCTGATGACAACCCCACCAACCCCCCCCCCCCGCCTTTTTTTCTAAGTATATTAAAAGTGCACTACATGTAGCGAAAGAGAAGATTGTTTACCTACCATTCCACACACCACCTATACTTAATTATTTACCTACCACACCACACACCATATCTACAAAATTACTTACCTACCATACCACACACCACGTCTACAAAATTAGTTATCTATCATACCACACACCACGTCTACAAAATTAGTTATCTATCATACCACACACCACGTCTACAAAATTAGTTATCTATCATACCACACACCACGTCTACAAAATTACTTACCTACCATACCACACACCACGTCTACAAAATTAGTTATCTATCATACCACACACCACGTCTACAAAATTAGTTACCTTTCATACCACAAACCATCATCATAATATAGCAGGTTCTTTGCAGAATGTCACTCTCATCAAATCTGCCTGAAAGAAACTCGGTCTCTTGCGAGTTCTCCCCCCTCTTGTACTTTCATACTCAAGGAGTCACTTATATAATGTGCCCATCTTCATTTCGGTCGGCCCCTGCCCCTTCTTCCTGGTACCATGCCTTCTGCTATTTTTTTCCAGTCCGTTGTTGCGCTTGATATGACCAAAATATTTCAGCTTCCGAGATAGGATGCTGTTTATTAGCCAATCTTCCTTGATGTTGAGATCTTTTAAGATGTCAATAATTATCCTCTTTTTCCAAGATATGAGAATCTTTCTATAGCATTTTAGCTCAAAAGCCCC